ATATATGTCCAATAAAATTAATTATAATTATAAACATTTTAAGTTTATATTAAATAGAGTGAGAACTCTCAGCACCGCAGTATCATATTGCAATGTTGCTTACGTAGCAGAGTCCCTCAATGAAAATATAATGATATTTTTTTATATAATTAATTATTTCAAATATATTTCAGTGTAATATAATATAATGTACGTATTATGTAACTTATTTAACAAAAACTTACTTCGAATAAGCAATAATTAGTAAATTAGTAAATTTCAGAATATTAACACATATATCAGTTTATATAAATTCATAGATATATCATTTTATGGTACAAATATATTATTTAAATTCATAGCTAAATTATTATATGATACTCAATCTGCTTATTTACTGAAATTCATAGAAGCAAATTAAATTACACTCCCATAAGATTTCAAATTAAAAAGACTGAATATGTTCTTTTACATATAAACTTGCTTATTTTTACATGTAGAAAAAAATCAGTAATGATACTGAATCAATTTGAAATTCACAGATCAATTGAAGCATTAGTTGAAAAATCTCTTTCATTTAAATTCAATGTTTTTTAATTCGATATGAGATTACTAAACAGAAAAAAATAATAGTCAAAATTCAATATCTATATTTTAATCATGTTATACTATAAATTTTACATCCACTAAAAAAATCATATAAGTATTGCACTTTTCTTTTTCACATTACTATTGCATATTTTTTTATTCATTTTTTTATTCACATTAATTTTTTTGAATTAATATTATTTCAATTGTTATTTATTATTGTGTAATTCAATTTTTTGAAAATTATTTAATATAAAAACTTTATTTTAATAAATATTCAAATATATATTGTTTCATCAAATTCCACGATAGGACAATGTGTTATTAAAATAGCGTTGCTAACAATTGAATGCTAATCGTGAGCATTAAAAAAAAAACTTGATAAAAAAAAAGAAAAGAGGTAATAATATTCGAATTCGAATATTACATTTGTGTATATTAAATATAAAAATATAAAATCTTAGATCAAAAATCTTTTCCATTGTTAAGATAGTGTTACTTTATGTGCTTTCTCAGTTTTATTTTTTAACGTTCGTGTAATAATTCTATTTTGTATATCAGAAATAAAAGTATAAAAAAAAAATTAATAAATTTGTAATATTTATTCGAGCATATATAAAAAGAACAATTGCAATATGCATAGATATGTGATTTATATTATTAATATCCAGATCGATTATTATTTCTCTCTAAAAAAATAAGAAATATTGAGTTATACAAATAAAATAAAGGTAAAGATTTGTCAGTGATTTGATTGGATGTTTAATAATCTGAAATTCAAATTGATTCAAGTATCATTAATATTTCGAATTTTCTTTTCTTTTCTATATATGTGAAAATAATTAAAAAAAAAAATTGTACATATAAAAACACATTCAATCTTTTTAATTCGAAATCTTACACAATTATGATTTGTTTTTATAGATTTCGATAAATATGGTAAGTTGAATGGAATACAATGATTTATCTTAATTTTAAATGAAATATTATATATGTAATCATTGTTCTCCAAATATTATGGAATTTGTTATAATTTGTGTGAGATTTCTGTTAAATAATAAAATATATAGATTTCAATTTGCATAATTAATATTTTTTTTAAACGATAAAAATGTTGCATAGTTTCATTATATTATACATTCATTGTACGATTTATGTACATTATATATTATCTTACACTGAAATTCATTTGAAATAATTAATTGTATATAAAAAAATATCAGTGTATTACTTTCATTGAAGGATTGCGCTACGCAAGTGACATTGCAATATAGTATTGCCGCGCACTCAGTTGAACGTTCTCGCTTTGTCTAATAACAAACTTAAAATCTTTATAAATCCTTATAACTAACTTAATTAAGACTTATCGGATATATGTGTATATGAACTTTTTTCATCGTTTTGATATCTAGAATCCAACCTCCAATGGGTCATATATTTTTTTGAACACCTTGTATAATTACATGTTATAAAAAAATATTTTGATAAAATGTATTCTATTCAGAAGAATTAATTAAATAACATTTTGATTTTTTTTCTTTTTCATATTTTCAAAAATATTAAAATAACTTCGAATTTTTTGAGACTAAATATTTTTTAATATCAAATTATCAATATTAATGCATGTACATATATGTTTATATATTACTATAATATCATATATCTGAATTTTCAAATTGAATTAAAATAATATTATTTCAAATCCCAGTGTCTGAAGATTAATTATATAAATTTTTTTTATTTTTAATATATCATTGTAAATTTAAAAAAAGAATTTGTAAAAATATATAAAAGTTCTTAAATTAATTTATTTAAAATTAATTTAAAATAATTTGACATTAAAAACAATCCATTTTTAATTATAAATTTTCTGAAATTCTATTTTGTAGATAATATTTTTTTTAATTTATTTTAATATTGATCTTCAATTTATATTTATTTAAGATTTCATATAAACTATTTATTCATTGAAGAAAGCTGAATTTATAAAATGCATATATTTAAAACTGACTAAATGTAAAATCACATCATTGAAAAGATTTAAGATTTTAGAAGAAGTGCTAAATATTATAACTGTCTGATTATTTTAATATTGTACTACTGATTTTTTCAGAATAATATATATTTATAAATATAAATTAATTAAAAATACATTCATTTTCAATGTCTTTTTATTTTCCTTTAAATATTTGCAATCTTATTTCTAAAAACCATTATTTCTATTTTTATAAAGTTATAAACTTTTTAAATTTTATTATTATTTTGTATTTTCCATATATTTATTTTCAAATTATCATTTAAATCATTTAAGATCATATTTATTGACATTTGCATAATTCAATCTATTTTTTTTTGATTTCGAAAATTTTTCTGATCGAATAATTTGGACGAAAGAATATATAATCCTATTATTATATTGTTATTTTGAAATATATTTATTATCATCAACTATCACTATATTCATTCTGAATTCGTGAATTTTCTGACAACAATTCTTGTAATTTCAGAATCTACAATAATTTTTTACTACTTTTTCTATTTTTACTTCAATTTTCTACACGAATACTTCTATTACTTTACACATATGTGAATGACATATTCTTTATTAAACAGTATTGCTTGTTACAATTGAATACATTTGTGAAATAGCACATTTACAAGTTTGTTTCGCACAGAACAATATCAAGAAAGTGTTTCTTAAATTTTCTTGCATATTGAAAAAAATTAAGAAATAAAGAATATTTTATGATACAAATAACTCTTGAATATTATAATACTTGAATTACACAAAAATTCGTATAACACGATCGAAAATTATGCCAATCCTCCAAATAACATAACACTTTAATTATTATGTTTCTTTAAAAGTTTTCTGTTTAACAATTCTAAAATGAATTATTTTTTGCATTAAATTAAAATTTTATACAGTTATCACGTTCCCTATGTTCCCTGTCATAAAAATTTTCGAGGATTTTGATTTAGCAACAAAATTTCATTTTCTATAAAATAATTCTTCATAGTTATACAGAATAACATTTAAAAGGAATTTAATTAAAATGTTTATCTTCACATCTAAAATTCTTCAAAATATTATAAAATAAAGAAATGTTATTTTCTAATATCAATGATCTTAACAATTAGTTATTCCAATGAATCATATTATTAATTCGTTCAAAGAAAGAGAATTTAATTTTAGGATGATAATAATGAAAAATAATTAAAATATTATAATGATATATAAGTAATAAACTTTAAAAAAAAACAACAATAAAAATTTTCAATTTATAATATAATCAATTTACAATATTATTATAATAATAATTGTAAAGATATATGCAATTTAATGTTGTTGTTCTTAACTTATAACATTGTAGCATTGTAAATGATATTTTATTATAATATTACAATTTAATTTATATGAATTAAAAGTGTAAAATTATAATTTTTTTTTTTATTATGTTTAGGTTCCTTGGGTACTTCAGTGTTTGACACGGATGTATACCTTGTTGGCGCCAGTGGAGGTGTTTATGCTCTTCTCGCAGCTCATTTAGCAAATGTTCTTCTTAACTATAATAACATGGAATTCGGCATTGTACGATTAATAGGCATCTTTGTAATCGGTAAGATTTAGAAAATTAAATAAATTTTTTTTAAGAGAATTATTTTTTCTTTAAGAGAGCATTTTATATTTATGAAATTCAGATGTTAGGATTTTTACTACTATCGTTACGGTGATATTAATTATAAAAATTGTTTATTTGCTTTATTTTCATTAATAATTATAAAATAATATATAATAATATAATATATTGTAATAATAATACATAAATAACATATAAATAATATACATAAATATAAACCATATAAATTCATATAAATTTATATGGTTCATATAAACCATACAAATTTTTATAATCTTTTTCTTTTTGAAACATAAAATTTGATTTTAAAGAGTTTCATTGCAAAAATGTGCTAAAGATATTTAAAATTTTTGGTATGCAAAGGATTAAACTTTTCATTAAAAGATTCATTAAAAAATTATGCATATAATATTTTTAAAGTTTTAAAGATTAAAGATTTTAGAAATTATTATACATTTATATCTCCACATTAAGAGATTACATAATTTATATATTTTTCTTTAAAATATATTTACTTAAAAACATATTTTTATGACGGTTTTTATTTTTATTTTTTATTTTGTTTCATTTTGTTCATAATTTAAGTGATCATTTTATTATTCGCTTACCATCTCAATAAAAAGTTATAAGATGATTCTTTAAGATTTGAAATCTATATTAAATTATTTTAATAACTTACATTTAAAATTATATTATATTACATTATATCTATTATATTAATTATATTACAATATATTATAATTTTTATATAATTTTATATTTAATTTTATATATAATTTTATATTTAATCCAATTTTTATTTAACAATATATGTATTATTATTTTAAATAAAAATTTATTTATTATGTAAAACTAAACTACTTATTAAATAAAAATAAACTACAAATATTTTATTATACTATTTTGATTAAAAAATACATAAAATATATTTTCATTCAAGTTTATTTTTTAATTCATTTGTGTGAATATTTTTTATACTGCTTTATATCTTTTCCACATATTGTTGCAATAAAATAGAATTTGAAAAAAAAACAACAAATGCAATATGAATTCTTTCCTTTTCTATCTTTTCGTTAAAATAAAGTAAATAAACTGTTAAGCAGAAATTATTTGTATCATAATGAAGACATAACGGAAAAATTATCATATATAGAATATCATAAATATTTTCAACTACTACACATATATTCACAATAAATTATGATCTTATCATTTTAAAAATATTTCTTAATTTTAAAAAAGTATATTAATGTGTTTGTAATCATTAATGTAAAGTTTTATTTTATTTTTAATCTTATAAAAACAATAATTATGAAACTAATAATAAATTTTTAAATCGTATATTTAATATATTTAATATAGATAGATATATAAATGTTCTTTATGTAATAAAATTATTTTTAATTTTTAATTTTAATTTAATTTAATTGTTAATTGATTAAATTAATTAATATATGTTGCAAATAAATGATTCTTGATAATTATAAAAATTATAAATATTTGACCGTATATAATTTATTAATTTTAAGTATATATATAAATTCATTGTCTCTTTTGTTTTATTACCTGAATACTATTATTTGAAGCCTATTATTATTATAATGAGACGATATTTATTTATATTTTTCTATTTCAATTTTTTGTATAAAATAAATATAAATTATCATTTTTTGTATATTATTGAAGTACGATATCTATAGTTTTTATTTAATTATAACTGTTAGAAAACAATATTACATATTGCAAAAATTGATAGAATTTTTACTTATCTAATATATTATAAAAAAACAAATTAATATATAATTTATTATATACTAATATTTAGATTTCGAACTTCTTTGTATATTCATGTATTCCTTGTATAGCAATATCTCTTTTTAATATTCATTGTTGTTAATAATCGACGCTAGGATATAGGACTTAATTAATATTGATCCGTAATATTAAAACTCTAAAAAAAAAATATATGTTGAAATATTAACGATTAGTGATTCTCAACTTCTATACATATCGTTGAATCTAAAATTTAAAAATTCTAGTATCGTCATTTCTTTGCGCAGAAATTTATTAAAATATAACTATAAAATATAATATTTCCTATTTCTAATAATTCTACCTTAAAAATTTGTTACACATTTAATTAAAATTGTTGAAAAAATTGAAATAAATTAATTCGTTTATCATGTAATTTATTATATATACTGCTATTTTTCACATTTAGAAATTTATTATCAGTTTCATAATTATTGTTTTTATAAGATCAAAAATAAAAAAATAAAATATAACTTTGCATCACACAATTAATACGTCAATAATAACTTAAGAATAACTTAAAAATATATTATATATCATAACATTTAATAAACAAACTTAATAAAGAAATAATTTCTATTTTCAGCAAGTGCCGACGTGGGATTCGCGATTTATGACAGATATGCGGCTGAGCAAATGGGTCCTCCTGTTTCGTATGTGGCACATCTGACCGGTGCATTAGCAGGTCTCACGATCGGCTTGCTGGTGCTGAAGAACTTCGAACAACGTCTCCACGAGCAACTTCTCTGGTGGGTGGCGCTTGGTGTCTACGCGGCCTGCACAATCTTTGCAATTATGTACAATCTCATGCATCCAGACTATCCATGACGCGAGGTCAGCTTCGCGTATGGACAACCGCGAAATTCGTAACGCGAAGCTGACTAATATCGAATTCTAATAAAGAAGAATTTAAAGAAAATAAAAAAAAACACGCGCAGAGGACTAAACGAGAGGAAGACAACTAATTGAAGAAATAATCGAAATAAATATCGGCGAAGATTCATAGGAATAAATTTTAAATTATTAAAGAAATTTTGAAAAGAAGAAAAAAAAGAGTGAAAAGAAAAAAATCTCGATTCCATAGCGGTTGCAGCGTGAAGTGAAAAGAGACGATGAAAAAACATTTTTGTCGTGTTGTGTAAAATGAATTGAAATAATTTATGAATCGAAGTGAATTAAAAATAAACAACGGAAAGATTTGTTTTTGTGAGTCTGAAACGTGGAAGAGAACAATTATTAACCTTGAGAAGATTTGAGAAGAGTTTAGGAAATGGATAAGTGATTACGTTAAATGAAAAAGAATATGTTAGTAACGTGAGATGTGATGTCAAGAGATTTTTCAAATAAACTGTATAGTAAAGTGAATCTATGGAGAACGCAACAAAGATTAAAAAGAAAAAGTTTTTCGTAAGGAATAATGCAGTAATACAGAAACAAAGAGAAAATAATTTTCTAATTGCTGGCGTACATATAAAATTTTTAAAACTAATATTAAAATTCAAAGAAAGTCGAGGAATTAATATTTTAGCTACTTTGATCACACTTAATTACCAGTACAAACTGAAAGAATAAAAGAAAAACAAATGTTCCAAGAACCATGACACGTAACACTCTTTCAGTCATAAAAAAATAAACTCGTTGAATATAATAATTGTAATTACTATGAGAGATGAAAAGAAGAAGCGAAGAAAAAGCAGAAAAAAGAGCAAAAGCAATTCCAGACGATCCCTCGTAAACATATAAAATTAACTTCAAAGAATTAAAAAATATTTAAAAAAACACACGACAAAGAGAAATTAATTAAAATTAATTATTTGTTAACTCCACGTATTGTATAATTTTTAAGTATTTTCTAAAAAAAATGAAAGCAAGCAAATCATCATTAAAAAAAAAGGATAAAAGTGAAATACTAATCGATTATTAATCCCTTCCCCTCGAGCACTATCATTTTTTTATTTTCTCAATAAGAAACCAAAGATTCGAGATACCTCTGTTCCATTTTCGGAACTCACATGTCATTTAAGTACGATAACCACGAAACGCGCAGATAATTCCGTCAGATAATACAAAGAAATGAAAAAGAGCGGAAAAAAAAAGAAACAAGAATGAAAATAAAAATCTGTCCATTTAGAAGGGGAAGTGGATTGCAAGCATAAGAGACGCGATTCTTGTCTCCGGCTTATTTTCTCGCTTATCGACCTCTTTCAAGGCGCGAAAAAACCAAAGAATCCTAAACCAAGAATCTCGTTTTCAATTTCATCTTTTGAACGAATGACAGGCGAATGAAAAACAACGGAGATAGAGGCAAAAGATGTGTGTTCCAGGAATCCCTCATGATGTCAAAGAAATAAAATATTTAAATAAAAGTAGAAGAAACTGAGAAGAGAATTTACGGGAGTAATCATTTATGATCACAAGACAATTTAAAAACAAAAGAAAAATAGCCTTTTGTCATTATAGAAAAATCGATCGGAAAAGATTATTTTCGGAAACAGAACATTATATAAATTGGAGGAAATAAAAAATTAAAAAATTGAATATAGTGGTTAATTCTGGTGGTAATTCTCTCTCGAATAAATAAGTTATTTGTATCAATTATTTGAGAAATACTAATGGAAAATCGTAAATTCGTTGATGATGATATCTGATACGAAAGGCATTATTGTGTTCATCCATTGATAAAAGAATAATCGAAGAACATAGCAATCAGAAAAGATAAAAATATTGTTATAAAAATTAATGATAAACTTTTTGATAAAACGATCAACGATTTGTAAAAATATATAATGATAATTGAGGGAATAATGAAGAGACATCTAGGAAGAAAATTAAAACATAAATTAAACTATTTAAAACTATGAAAAAACATTTAAAAACCATCGCGCTGCCTTCGTTTATCTTCAGGGTATATACTGTGTAATTATCACGAAATATTGTATTCGTTGGACAAGATGCTTTTTCTAATAATACAAACTGCTCGATCGCTATGCTTCTTCGATCGATCGTGAATCGTTCACTATTATCACCGGCGAGGTGCAATCAATGCTTATCTCCTCTACCGCGTGGCCGAACGAGCAATCGATCCACGCTCTAATCTATATACCATTGTAAATAATTCTGTACATATATGGAGATGACGGGAACGACAACGTACCGTTATGTATGCGTGAGTGTGTATATGTATGCGTGTGCAAAAACGAAGTGAGAATAATATTAAGCGTGTTGGACCGAAGAAAATCTCGGTCGACTGTGCGGTCTAGTCTGATAATCGCGAGATTGCGTGGTTGTTCGTATTAAAACTGAGAAAAAAACAAAAGAAGAACAAACGTATTTTGAATTCGGTTCTACAGATTAGTATGGTTTTCTTCATAAAACTTCTTCATGAGTCCATTTGAGAGCAATATTCTCTCGTATCTCTCTCGAGATTTTTACTCTCAGATAAATTCGTGTCTTAAGATTTGCTCGAGAGAAAACGAAACGACGAAGAAGAGATTTTTTTTGCGACTTTTGAAGTGACTTTTTCGATCGCTTTTTTTCGTGTTCGTTGAGAGTACATTAATATGACAATCTTGGAAAAAATACATCACATCAAAATAAATAAATCACGGCAAAATTTTGTTAAGCATTACCTTGTTCGAAGAAGTATCAAATAGCGAACATGAAAAAATTTACATAAATAATTCTTCGTTCAAACGAAGAGACGAGACAAATGCTCATCATTTCGATTTTTGCGAGTTCTCCGCAAAACGGATGTGTTCATTCTATGAAGATCCATTTGTAATTAAATTGCGAATAGTTGTAGATTGCGTTTTGGTTTACAAGTTGTATCGCGGATTTTTGTTAAAGACACATGTTCTCCGAGTTTTTTCGTAACTTATTTTGCTTATTCTCGTTTTTTGTCTCGCGAGTATTGTCATAACGATTAAAAAACTATATTTATATTAATAATTTCTCATCAATGAAAATGTATTTATATTAATAATTTCAGTCGCGATTTCAGTCTCCTCGAGTCCATTTAATATTCGTTAATCCTCGTCTTCTTTTTTCTTCTTTTTCTCTTCTTTTTTTCTTTTTTCTTACCTATCAATAGTTCTTTTTACACACATAGGGAAAGATTTTCACTTGTGAATTTTTTTATTTTTATTCCACGATTTATTTTCTTCTCATATCAAATTATATAATTATATAATTGCTTCGTTGAGAATTTTCAAACGAGATAATACACAATTAAGAATTATTCTCCAGTAACATTGTTTCGTTCGATTCGTCAAAAGTAACTATTCGTGCAAATTTTACGAGAAGAAAAGAGCGAAAGAAAGAAAGAAAGAGAAGCAAATTTATACCAAAAAGTCGATGGCGAAAAGACGAACAAATTTAAATCGAGAGTGATTAACGATGCTAGTCAATTAGTAGCGACATCAAGTAAGACATTGTTGAACAACATTCTTTTCGTCTTGCGACAAGCAAGAAGTAACTCGAAAATTTGCAACATGGTAATTCGTTGAGATTTCTGATATGTTTCTATGACTATTTATGCTTACAAATCATTTCAAGATTCATTAACAAAATAATGATTGTTACTAAGAAAATCTGATGATCAAATATTAATCTTCATGATAATGCCATAATAACAGCATTTATTCTTCTATAATTAATTTTTGTAATTTTTTTAATTAAGAAATAGATAACATAATTTTTGAATGATAGAATTAAATTCATAGAAAGTTCATAGAAACTCTTGCTTAGTTCTGAAAAATAATCAATATTATAATTAATATTCCAATATATTTTCTGGAATGATTTAACCAACATAATTATTACTGTTAATAACTATTTATTATAATTATCGTCTATTGATCAAATTTCAATTGTATTTTATTTATTAAATTCTATTTTTTTATTTTTAAAAGTTTCTATTAAATTTCTATTTTCAAATTTCTGTTTCATGTAATGTATAGTTATATTGTTTATTTTGTAATTAATTTGATCATTACTTTGGAATGAGTTTATATTTTATTTTCAATTCAATCGTATATCAGTTTTTTTTTCTTTTCATTTATCTGCATATATTGCATCATTAAATTGCACAAAATAATTTAATAATCATCATAGATCAATAATTATTTCAATAATATAATTAAAAAGAAAAAAATAATACCAAGAATAATAAAAAATTCAAATTAATTAAAATTAAATAAAAATTGAATAAAATTATAATTTCCAATATTTGTTTTCTTCAGATTTTCTTAATAAAAGTAAAAAATCATTGTTAAAAGAATCAATTTAAAAATCATCATATATAATGTCAAAAACGAATGAAAAGAACATAAAAATTTCATCATATATAACAATTATCGTCTATTTTCTTACAAAAAAAAAAAAACAATTATTTCAGAAATTCTCGAAAGATATCAAATTATTACTTATTTCAACCAATCTAAAATCTATAGCGAATTTGATTTTGAATCAATAGTTATCTTTGTATAATTATAATATCAATCCTTGACCGGTAAATTCGCATTTATTTATTTAAAAGAATCGCGCTCAAAGTGTTTGTTATTGCGAGATAAATGGAAATGCTCGCGAAATAGCGAAATTTTTCTAGCAGTAATTAATATGTGACGACAAGAGGAGTTTAAAGTTATATAAACGTTATATTCGTTAAATTATTTATAAGTTATTTGCTAGTTGTAAAAATACGTGTTCATGTCGAAGAAGCTTAAGTGTCAACAATATATATTATCTTCGATTCTTCTCATTTCTTCTCCCTTCGATAATTACAAATCGAATGATTACAAATTCGATTAAAAAAAGGGAAATCATCGTTGAACATACGTTATTTTCTTTTGCGCATTTTATTTATTTATTTATTTATTTATTATTTTGTTTTATTAAACAGTAATCGAGCATTTGATGTGCAACGATTTGATTCGATATTGATAAAAATTTGCAAGTACAACATCATTGAATTTGT